CCCCTTAACTGATGAAACAAAATTAAAGGGCTTGTGATAACGAAACGCTAAGCCGCACAAGTGAGGGAAAGACGCACGAGATTCTTAACTGATGTTTATTTATTGATTCCGTTTTATTTTTGCGCGCCGGGAATTCCTTATCTGCCATTCCGTCTCTCGAAATAAAACCTTATTGCGGGTTGTCAGACTCCACGTTAATTAAGCGACCTCGTAAAAAAGCGTCACGAGAGAAAGATCCTTGATTTGTTATATCGATATATTCCGTGTCGCGAGCACGTAAATTAGAAGGGGTCAGATACTTCTCGCTAGTTTCTGTTTAGGTCGTGGGCAAAGGCACGTTACGTTAAGAGCAACGTGCAACCGACACGTTTTCGCGATGGACGGATTTTGTTGACGTAGCGGACGAATTTCGCAGGCGAGCCGTCCTCCTTCGATTGGAGAGGAGACGCGGGGGGTGGCTTCTTGAAATTCGACGTCACCTGACAATCTCTCACGATCTCACGATTGAGACATTCCGCGATTTCATTAAATTAATTTCGCTTCGCCGACCGTCGAAATGCGGCCTCCGCTGACGGGGGATCCAATTCGCCGGCGGATGAATTTATTCGAACTTTCCGGAATTAAAGTCGAGAGATCCACGAGTTGCCGCGAGCCCGGCAACGAGAGCCGGGGCCCTTTCGCATAAATCGATATCAATATCGTTCGTTCGTAGAGATGCTTCCTGGCCGCCGTCGCGATTTTGGAGAAATTAAAGACCGCCGATCCGCAGCACGAGATGAGCGACATGAGGGGCATTTGGATCTTGAAACCCAGCCATTTGTGCTGCGGCAACGGCATCGTTATATCCCACAATCTCGAAGACATCTTGCGCAGAGTCGAGCAGAGGCCCAAAGATTATTATATCGTGCAGAAATACATTGGTACGGATACTTTTCTACAAACGCACTGCGAGGATCGCATTCAACTTGTTAGTCGCGTCATTTGTATTTCAGAGCGTCCCCTGCTGATCAAAGAAACCAAGTTCGACATACGACTGTGGTATCTGGTAACGAATACCTTCCCTCTCACAATATGGCTGTTCAAGTAAATCACATCGCAATTAAGTTACTCTAACGTGAAAAGTATTCTTCTCCATTATCCTTAAGAATAATAAATTTTCTCCGGCGCGAAAGACAACGTCACTTAAGTTTGAGCTTGAGTTAACGTAACACAATAAAGAGTGCATCAAATGTTATAATGTTATTACTGTTATTGTTCTCGACACGTCACGTTTCTCCTGCCGCAACTTTGTGCTTATCTCGCTCGATGTTAAAAAAGAGAAAGATTTGTTTGACTACAAGCTTTAACTTTATACCATCCCTTTGTCTTTGTTACGATCCGCGCTCTTGGTCTCCCATCCAGAGAAGCGTTTCTTCGGTTCAGCTCGAAGCCGTACACCTTCTCGACCTATCACGAGGCGATCCACATTTGCAATACCGCCGTCCAGGAGAAGTACGACGACGAGAAGAGACGCAGGCAGCGACGCAGGCAGGGAGAGCCCGAGGAATCCGCCGGCAGCAGATCGGTGCGCGATCAAGGATGGGACTGCGAGAAGCTGAACGAATATTTGAAGTAATCTCTCGTCCGTGCACCAAGACGTTTCGATTATCCATTCGTCACGCCGCCCGTCCGGCTCCCGGAGGCATTCCGAGGAAATTGATAGGGTCCGTGTGCAAATACGCTTTCTTCGAAGAGCGCGTTCGTCCGGGAACGCTCAGCGTTCGGGCACGGAACGTCTCGCCGATGATAATAGCCTCGCTCTACCCTCCCCGCTGTTCTCAAATGATAAATCGAATAAGATTTTTCGACGACACGATGTATATTCGACGCCCAATTGCGAATAAAAGCGGATGTATATTATCCGCGGTTTTGCGTTCGATTGGACTGGTTGTCGATTGGTATCGGTCCGTGTTACTATCGCGCGAAAGGATTGTCGCCGAGACGTTCGGAGTCCATCGAAGATTTCGTTGCTGTTCCATTTTAACGATAACGACTTTGCCGTCGGTTATCTTTGCCACGGCGGCTAAAGCAGACGGTATCTCAATAACAATCGAATATCGAACGTTGAAGTGTGTATTCAAGGGGATGGAGAGGCTGATGAAAGATACAAGTATTTTATTATTTCCGTAAATGTGAAAAGCGGAATTTAATAGTCTGCATTATTCTAACTTTATATGTTAATTTTGCATACCCTGCACCCTTTACAATCTTACAGTTTTTAATTCTTATGATAGATTTAATTTATTTCATTTGTTAAATTGTTAATCCTACAAAACTCCAACTTTCTTAATAGAAATTGTACTTCATTTCTTACAACAATATTATATCGTTATGTTTTTATCGACATTCTGGTCGTTTGAAAAAGACTAATTTCTTAAATGAATACTCCATGAGCAATTTTACACAGCCATAAAACAAAGATTTTTACGATGCGACAGTGTAAAATGTAAAGACTTAAAATATGTTTTTTTTAGTTTATTATTTATTTTGGGGATCCGATACCTGCGGAAAAAGATACGATTGTTCGCGAAGCCATAGTTTATTTACGATAATTGCACTTTTCAATGAAATACGAGCTTTCATTTTGATTATTGACGCTGAGTGGACTTCTCCATCACTACAAATGTTTCAATTTACCGCACGAAGTTTTTTCCGCTAAAACTTGTCCGATACAAACAAATATGTTTTATTCAACCGGTTTCGTCTGAATTATAAATGCGCTTAAATCATTTTTGTCTACATACAACACGTATCTCATGTTTTTAGTTATGCAAGTTCTAAACTGTGGTATCCATTTCCACTGTGACACTGAGTGACCAATTTTATTTTAAAACGGACCGATCACCGATTTCGTATTGCAATGGACTTTGCTTTTAATTTATAATAGCTTTATTGATGTATTTATTTTTCGGTTATCTTTTATAAAAACTTAATCAGAGATCTCGAAGCATATTCCTTTATTATTTTTAATAATAAATTCGATGGAAGTAAATAAAGACGTAAATTAATTAGTGGAAGTAAATCAAGATCAAGTGTCTTCAAACTGAAAAACAATGATAATTTATAAATAGAGGAAATAAACTTATATATTGAATACTTTTTTCGAGTCAAAGACGTTACTTATATAGTGCATATATAATTTATATAAAAATTAGTAAATAAAATATTATAAATATAAGAAACTTAATAAATTGTTAATTGCATGTACTTTCTCAGATCCATAGGTCATGAAGGAGAACCGTATTACGATCTGATTTACCCAAAAATGACAGAGGCCATTGTTTTAATGATGCTGGCAGCACAGAATCACATGGAGAGGCGCTGTTGCAGCTTCGAATTGTACGGTGCTGATTTCGTGCTGGCTGAGGATATGTCGGTCTGGCTGATCGAGATCAATACTAATCCCCGTATGCATCCGCCCAGCTCTAGAATAACTAGACGCCTTTATTCCAACGTATTGGAAAGCCTGGTGAAAGGTGTGTAAGCGGACTATATATTATTCTTAATAAACAATCAAGCAAATTATTTTCGAGATGGGCATCCTAGACGATGTTTACATACTTTAAGTGTGACCAAAAAGTCGACCATGTGATGTGCGATTTTGAGAGAACACTGTTTGCTTGGCTAATAAGTAGAGTTAAAAGTCCTCTATTATAAGATAGGATTCTAATGTGAGATAGCGGAGTTTCTGCTAAATTAATAGGCATCATCTGTTAGTTTCATCATTAAATTTATTGCCCTTGGAGTGAAATCTGTTTAGAGGAAAATTGATTGTTGGATCGTGTAATCTTCGCGAAAAAGGATTAGATCCTCTATAACGAGTCTTGAAGGCGAGGGATAAACAGTTAACGAGAATAAAGGGAAAACTAGGCGCGAAAAGAAGAGAGACCTTATTTTTGACCAGCGAGGAACGGCGCGTGTATTTCTGTAGAAACGGAATAAATAATTATACGTTTACTCGAGAGTGATCGGTTTCTATTTTTTATCTTATCGCCTGCTGATGAGTAGAGAATTGGATGTCGAGAGAGAAAGAGAGAGAGAGTGTGTGTGTTTGTTTGTTTGTTTATGTTAAGTAAGACTGTATTCGAAAGAAAGTTTTTCCGAGATAGCGAGAGAGTGGACGATTCTGGTGTCATTAACACCTCGTTTCGCACGAGTTTTAGAAATCGCGAGTACCGCTAACCGCAGCTTGCGATTAGACGAGTTACGCGTCGTCCGGATAGCCGACCCGAGACGGCTCCCTCTCGGTTTGCCAGGATGATAACAGTGACCATAATTCGCGGCGACGTAACGCCGATAAGCGCCACGTGCCCTACGTGATGGATTTACGCGAGGAATTAACCGCGTTAGCGAGATTTCCCAGGTGCAATTATCGAGCCTGAAATGGTCAAACACCTGATTGCATCGGTTATATCTTTAATGCATCTTCATGATCCTATCGTCCCTAATGGAGAAACAATATTTCACAAATTTAAATTCATTGAAAAACAGTAGATATTTCATTTAAAAAGCAATAAAATTGTTTCAATTTCAGTTATTTATCCATCCAAATAATTGCTTTCATTGAAGTAATTTTATCATATATATTTAAAATATATTAACCATTTTTCAATGATTGTAAATTTGTAAAATGTTCTTTAAATTAGTAAAAGCTCGGATATTTATTGTATTGTTTATGTCAATATATCCTGTAATATGAAAAAGGTTTATGCAAGTGTACCATAAAATTATAAAAATGTTGTGTTTTGACATTAAAACACTTTTCTTTTCGGAACGCTCATATCAGGATGTGTGTATACACATAAAGAAAAGATACAATAAAGATATTGGGTTTGCAACAATGAAATTCTTTTATTATGGCCACCAATAAAGTTAAACAGTAGAGCTTTATAAATTATGATTTCATAATCAATCTTTTTAAATTCTCTAATATTTAAGTTGAAAAGAATTCCATTCTCCTCATTCTTTATCTCTCATATGCATGGCTTTTTATTATTAAATTCAATATCCTATCTTCTCTGGAAAAGAGCTGATATACGCCGTTTGTATTAATTAACAAAATCGCTCCGGCCTCCCTTTTAATTCATTTTTGAATATTTAATTTTCTGAATCTGTCGAACGCAAACGTATCAAGTAAAAATATTCAACAGATTTGTAAATAGATCAATATATAATATATTAACTGTTGTAATAGCAGCGTGTATCGCAAAATTACTAATTTTAAATGAATTCTTCAATAATTAAAAAAAATAGAAGGATTACGTTTTCATATTTAAAAATACCAGATGTTGCCCATTTTAATATCCGAAATAAATCGGAAATCTTTTTCACCTGTGACATTTAAATGCCGAGAATTTATCAATATTACAATGCAATTAAAATTGACATTAAAGATATAAAGATATAAAATAGAACACATTTTAAATGACATTTACATAAATAACTCTAATAAAAGAAAGTCTTTTTATAAGAACAAGAGCTCTCGGATCTCTCTTACGCAATGATAAATGCAAAGTGGCGAAAGAGGATTTAAGAAAACTAGTATGCGACAGTGCACGGTTTCTGCTAATCTGTTTTCCACAAACTCCATCATCTAGTTAAGAGCGATTTTCGCACTATGGCGCACGATGAAAATCCTTCAATCACTTTGCTTACAGTGATAATGGACGTGCCGGTAAACGCTTGTGCCGACACGGGTGGCTTCAGCCTGGTCTACAAGCAGGACCTACCCGACTTCCAGCCTTACCTTGGTCCCTGCCTTTTCGTGGCTGGTAAGTCGATGACACTGCACGAGCGGTCGCCGGAACCAACGCCGAGGAAAGAAAAGAGGACAAACATTTGCGGTCCCTGGAGCAAGCAGCAACGTGCAAGGACCGCCCCGCCCATGATCCTACGCTCGAGAGAACCGAACGTGGTGGATCTTATTGACCATTTCAACGCCGGTCAATGCACTGCGGCCAATTGACGTGAGACCCTTTTAGTCGATGCTATCGGGTAAACATGGAAGCGATCGGAGGAGTGTCAGGCCATTTCTTCCATTTTTCAAGGTGCGTATTCAGTTGCGATAGGTTTAGAATGGAACTTGATATAATTGGCGCACGACATTTTTGCCGCGCGTGTCAAGCTTTAAATGGATAAATGTTAAAGTTGAAATGACCATGTCGATATTGATGAAGGAGAGATTGTGTTCGATATGACGGGCGTGAAGGAGTTGCAAGAGACCTTCGTTTTCAGATTAATCGAGGACACCGTCGCGCGATTGAACGCGAAATTTACGCAACCGTATTTTTTCACGGTAAATTTAGCACCGCGCCGTAATTAACGAGCGTGAGATAGCGCAGTGTAATTAATGTTGCCATTAGTGAGGCGATGTCCGCGCGCGCGCCGGCGCGACGTCTCTTCTTTTCGCGTCCTGAGGAAAATCACATGGCCTGAAGACGCGCTATTGAATACAGCGCTGTAAAAGTTGCACGAAATTATAACGAGGTAAACTTCCTCGGTCGCGTGATTGACGGAATACTTTTGCGAGAAATTTGCGACACGGTGCATAATCTTGTCGACGACAATCTTTTATATTTTCCAAGAGAACACCAGAAAAGTCCGCTTCCTTACCTAGCGTATATTGCAAGAAAATAAAAAAATTTGATAATTATATTGACGGAAACTGTAAGGCTTGTATTTATAGTCGAATCTTATATTCAAGATCGTCTTGAATTTATCTAAAGATGCTGTACGGAACATTGCACTGGCTACGGAGTATCTAAAGATGATCTTGAGACAGTCTTGAATATAAGACCTGACTATGAATGCTGGCCTAAATTGATGTAAAGGCGTTATTTGTTTCAGCATATCGATTCACCCTTACCTTGGCAGAAGCTTACGACGACTCGACGGGCCTCAATAACGCCTGCAATAACCAGACGATCCAGATAAAGACAATCGTTTTATTGATATGTACATACAATAAATTTATTTACAAATAATACAATAAATTTTGACGTCGTAAGTTATTTGTTCTTGATGATATATGTTAACAAAATACTACGCTCTTACCGATTATTGTGCCGTGCTGATATTTGAAAACTCTTTTGGTCACGGAAGTTCGTTTCTTTTCTTTTTCTTTAAATGTAAATGGTAATGTTCGGTTTTACCCTGCACAAATATTTATCCAAGAAATGTTAACGACGTTAAATAGGCAGCCCGCGATTCCCGGCGATCGCGCTTCTCGTTTCATCGTGTGTGTCGGAGTAAGTGTTTTCCTTACTTCTCGCCTTATATAAACATTATATTAGCTATTACTAAAATTATAAAACAAATCGGCCGTGTCTTGCTGTACGACGAGCTTCCGTCCCCATGGTGCATCGCGGCTGGGTGTTCCTCTGCAACAGAAATTTTCAGCGATTCGACACGACTCTCTACGAACGAATATAGAACGGACTATGCGATTTATATGATTTAATCGTGTATACGAAAAAATATGCAAAGCCCATTATATTGTTCACGTCGGCGCTCAGCTTTTAAATTAAGATAAATTAAGCGGATGGAAAATAATTATATTGTACAATAAAATTATAAAATAAAAAGAGATGCCTCTCCTATACCAGATTATTTTTCTACCCCATCTAATCTCATTTCCTTGCAATCTCGGGGATTTGTAAACGCGGACGCCACACTTGCCACTCTCGTGACATTATTATATAAAGTAGTTATCTTCCCTGTATCCCAGAAATTAGCAAATACCATCTCAATCGAAAACCGATACAGATTCCTCGCAAGTCTAAAACTAATAATTCACCGGACGTTTAATCAGTTTAGACGACAGGCTAAACTGAAGTTGCCGATGCAAAACGAGTTTAAACGCTTTCTGGTGAATTACGCGGGCGGCAGGAAGGACAAGGTGGTAACAAATGAACATTAACGCGAAACTTTTGATACGTATGTACATCGTGCGCGCGGCTCGTTCCGCTTTTTGCACAGGAACAACTAAATATTGTTACAAGCCGAAATATACGGGTAGGAATGCGTTGCGTTGAAATTTGGATAAAAAATGGTACCTATACGCGACGTACGCAAGAGCAATATCGCAGATAAACGATGCTGACACACACATGATGACGATAACATATCATCCCTTGTGTATAGATCGGCGTACATGGATGAGCGTTTCATGGATGGCCGTTTCATCCGGCCAAACTGTCAGCTGTTGTTCTAAACAACGCTTCAAATTTATAATTAATATATCGACTATTTGATTACGTGGTACATTGATCCATTCATCACACATTGCGGATCAAAAGGGACAATTACGGACGGAATCCACATAATTGTATACGTTTCATAAATACGTTTCAAGATATTTCATCTGCACTCGCCTGTAGTTATCACTGCCTTTAAAAGCAAAACGACGCTCAATCTCCTCGCGCCGACGTCGAACGATTCTTTTAAGGTTTCTTTTTCCAAGTTTATCTTAAATGTTCTTGAACGAAATGACGAATTAGATCGCGGATAAAGGTGTAATATTTAGAGACGCTAAAACAATTCGCGCAATCAACTTTTAAACTTTCGCATCGTGTCGCGCGACTTGATTGCTTGCAGCGCGAGAGGCAAAACTCGTAAATTCCGCCAGCTTCAAAAATATATCGAGTTACGAACAAAACGAAAAAAGCTCCTTCTTTCAGACCCGAACGAAACAATCCGCTTTCGTTTGATTTTATTTCGCTCGTAACCGGACGCACTCGGAAATTGCGTGAGATTCCACGCGAAAATCAGACTTTGTCATTGCTTTGTCATTGCTTTGTCATCGCGAATCGACGCATCGAGTGGATCGCGTTTGACGAGAGAGAGAGAGAGGGGGGGGGAGAGAAAGAGAGAGAGAGAGAGGGGTGAGGGAGGGGGGAGAAAAACGAAAAAAAACAAGATTTCGAAATCCGCTGCATTTCACAACTGCACGTACAGATCTATTCGCGATATTTCGCGCCCGAGCAATCGGCTGGCCGTAACCATTGATTTCAGGCTTAACGCGCGACTTGCCGGATAGATTCGGAGCTTGCAATATTTACAGAAAAGTCAATCAACGTTACTTTCGCGCGGCTCTCCGACGAGTTCTCTCGTCGCGAGATGCAGCGGACACCATTTCTCTCGTTTCGTTGTAATTGCGGCAAAGCCGATTGGAGCTCGATTTTTTTCCAATTTACCGGTAAACCGCAAAATGTTGATCAGAAATCTAAAAAAAAGGGTACACTTTCGCGTCGATGGATCATTGAAAATTGGAAAAGAGAACGGGCTGCAAAACGGGCACAAAGATTCATCGAAATAATTGTTTTACAATGAACAATATATAATGTGTACAGAGCGTATACAGAGAAGGAAATTTCAGCTTACCGTTAACAACGTGCACCTTTATGCTGCTGGGATTCGCGTTGCTCGGCTCGCACCGATAGATCCCGGAGTCGCTCGGCACTGCTTTCTGGATCATCAAACGACTCGTTGTCTCGGGCCCCTTTTCCGTGACGAGACTGATACCGCCACGTGGCGAATCGAAATTGATAACCTGGACAGAATTACAGTACACCCGTATGTATATTTTTCAAACGATAAAATTGCATGCATGATGTATTCGCGATTAATTGAAAACAGAACGGAAATGTATATACAAACGCCGATAACGGCGGGACATTAAATTTACATATATAATCGAAAATGCTTGGCAATAATAACAATATTATTCAGTACAAAATGATTATGCAATTTAATTATTAATAAAGAATCTATTAATTAGAAGTTACAACAGTCTATTTACATATATATTTCACCTCTCTCTTTCCCTCCCTCCCTCCCCCCTCTCTGTCTGTCTCTCTATTTTCCAATACTAAACTGAAAATCGAAAGTTCCCTTCAAATTACTAACAAATAACCTTCTTAGAAATGAAATTAATAGCCGAAGCTTTCGCTACGTCGTGATTATGTGTCGAGAATGAAATGAGTGCCTATCTGAAATTTGCGCTATTGTAAATTTCCGAGGGCTAAGCTCCGCGAGATGATAGCCTCGGGGAACTGTGGTAATCCCGGAAATAAAGGCTAACTCCTCTTTTGATTCGCGTCGCCTAATATCGAACATGTAGGCGCGGCGTCGTACGCGACTCATCCGCAATCGTTCTTTCAAAGACGCCGCCCCGCGCCTGCATCCTTACATTTCCCTGGAATCCCCGCTTTTCCGACAACGCAATGACGCCCCTTTGGCGGAAGATAAAAGGCAGCTCCCTGCGAGGTACGAGGTAAAGAATAGCGCGGGAAACGTATATACGTTTCTTTCGTATTCTCTTTGAGGATAGACACGCGTAACGGCACGCCCCCGTACAGAACGGAAAAATATCCTTCGCCTTTCCTTTTTCGCTTTTCTTCCAGTGCTTTTCATTTCTCTTCTCCATGAAAAAAAAAGGACAAGATTTAACTCGTCCCATATCTCATACGACGGCGGAATCGTTTCGCCGCGTGTGTATCGCGTTACGGGATAAATGATTATCCGCGAATCGAAAACCGCCAAGAATTAATCGGGAAATAATTTCGTTCCTTGACTGCCGCGCGCGGCCGTGCGAGCGGCCAGTCTTCTATTTCGTATTTCACTTTGATCAACGTGCGTGATAGTACCTTGCGAAAATTGCGTTACCTGCTGTTTTATTCTAGTAAAAGCACGTAGCCGGCGAGTGTAGCGCGCATCCCCGGCGACCGATGGCATACCGATGTATCGGCAATCAGCCGAGAAATTACTGTCTCTCTTTCTCTCTCTCTCTTTTTTTTTCATCGATCGTTCGCTAGTTTTTACTATGAACCGCGCGTACACGTACGAGCGTCTCATTAACGCGCGCAGAATAATTTCCGCCTGACCGATACCAAACGCGGAATTACAAATATCGGCCCGCAGAGGGGAATTTAAAATTATCTCGTCATCGTGAATAAAACGACGCGACGCCGCGAACGTTACGTCGCAAAATTATTCTAACGAGTTCGTCAATATTAATGGGTTCCGCGGTGTAATGCGCTCTTTGTGCCCTGCGAAATGCGCGTTTACAATAACTTTTGTCGCGCAAAATGGTATTAAAAGCACAAAATGCATTTTCCTATCGCAAAGAAAATACGCGTCGACAGACCGTATTAATCATGCGTGTCTGTTGTTGCCTGACGCGGCATAACAGCGTCGTTAGGCGACTCGTCGCGAGATAAATTACGGACAGTCTCGGAAAATCGGAGACGCAACACCGAGCCGCGGAATTCCGGACTGAAAGATCACTGGGCGAAAATTGTAAACCTAATACAGAGGTAAATGTTTGCAGAAACAAATTCTATGTCCTGTAAATTCTGTAAGATGTAATTAGAATAATTAGAATCAAAGAGTCCCAATTTTTCAAGTCGAAATTTTCGTGAAATTCTATCAAAAGTTTCGGCCGGGATCAAACTCGGAATCGTTGAAAAAATGCAGCATTTTTTGGTCATAGGTGTGGAAATCTGTTAGCTGTCGGTGATTTATTTGCGGCAGCAACACTCACCTCCGAATTATGACTCCAGGTCATCGCCGGGGGTGGCTCGGGGGCGTATTTTACGACGCACGTCAGATTGATGGTGCTGCCCTTATTGACGAAGAGGTCCGGCGCTCCGATTATAATGGTTATCGGTTCTGAAACAAAGAAGGACTATCGATTTGAGGCTGCAGTTACCTGGCAGTCGTGCGAGTGGGTCGATTAAATAATCCGGCGGCATTATTTTCGCCGTATATTTTCATTATGTTCAATATTTTTATCGCTCAACGCTCAACCCTCAACCAAGCCCATCGTAGAGCGAACTTTTGGGTCAAGTCGTGTCGATAAGATCCTCTCTTTGCTTGGACGGCCTGCTTAAAGTGCCGAGACGGTCATTAACGAGATATCTTCAAAGATATACGATCTCAAACACGCTCTTTACTTGAATATAAATGGTGCTGTGAAGCACATCACCGTTCCTTTACACATTTATGTAGTAGATATTCTTAAAACAGATATTACGTTGTTATAGTATACGCGAGGGGGAAACCGCTGACCAAAATCTTGCACACCGATGCCCACTAATGCCCAGTGGGCATTACTTTATCTTAATATCTTATTTTATCTTTATAATGCACCAGCAAGGCCTAATGCTAAAAAAATGCCTAGTAATGCCCAGTAATGCCGCAAATCTGTACACCACAATGCCCTCAGCGATTTACCCCTCGAGTGTACGTTTGATACCAAAGAAATTTTTGAAATGTTAATTAAAGATTCAAACTAATCAGCAAATTTTATGTAAGATACGAAGCATATGATTTTCCCCGATCAAAAGTCGTGCGACAAAATGTAGGAGATAAAGGGTTTCGGCTTTATATATTTAGCCCCCGTGAAGATGATATGAAAAGAAAAATTACAAATTCCAATTATACGTTCTTTCTAAAAATCCAAGACCAATTATAAATGGAAATTCCTCTTCTCATGTAACAGTTAATTAAACGATGTTTATATTATACGCAAACCAACTACAGAAGGTACAACTCTGCACTTTCTTCAACTAGTGGGAAACTTTTGAAGTTATATTGCATCCAGCGGAACGTTTGAGTCAAACTCACGATGTTACTGGGAAATTTATATCGCTCCAAATAAATACGTCTCCCAATGAAGTGAAGTTTCGTCGCCGAAGTGAAAACTTGCGGAAAATTAGAAATTTGAGAGTTTTGCAAATGAGATCGTTAGCGAGTACAATATTGACATGATATCCATTGGTTGTACAAGCCGCCCTCCCGAGACTTTCATCTCTTTCTCCACACACTTCGGAAAGATAGAAACGTTACATAGAATTATATTTGCTCACCGACTATCGTTAGGTACACGGGATGGCCGATGGGCGGGGTAGTAGATATTTGGCACTCGTAAATCCCGGAATCCTTACGCTGAGGATATCGTATCCTCAAGGTCCAGTCCTCCGTATGAGGAGAGTGTAGTGCCTCGAAACGTTGATCGCTGGTATAAGTGTAACGACCAACTGTTAACAGATGTATATCTCGGTGCCTCACCCAGGAAACCTAAAAGGAAAGACATTATCCGTCATTCTCGGTACACTTGTCGTTTTCCGCGCACGGAAAAGGATGACGTTGCATTAACAGGACTGATTTAATTGAGAATAATTTCGTTAATTCAATAACAGTAAAGCAAATAACATTTTATTAAGCAAGAGCAAACAACAGGGTTGTTTTAAATTTGTCTATGCACTCGTTACATCATTTTCCCTGCGCGATTGACACGTTGTCCCATACCTCAATTAATAATTCACTCCCATTTGTTATTAATGACAAGGCAGTTATGTAAAGTTAATTGCCTTGGCAAACAGTTCAATTGAGATAAATGCACATCATAAAAATATAATATGTAATTAAAGAAATAAAACTTATTATACTCGTAATATAAAGCGCTTCGTGACACACGAGTTTCACGTTACCGAGGATCAAAGCGCGTGATGTACCTATGTATATAGGCCACGGCCATGTGAGGAAATAATATTATATACCTACATGCATAGCTGGACTGTCAATATCAGGCGCGTTACTGCCCTACGGTATATTTATCTATCCTACGGCGTTGCCTGCGGTTTGCATAATACATCGTTTAATAAATAAATCAAGAGCTTATTTGTTTGTTTAATATCGTCGCTCAACCGCTGTTGAATTTTTACCCACCCAGACCGACAGTGCGTCGTGGTCTGAAACGAGTAAATTAAATTCGGCCGAGCCTGCAGAGATTCCAAGTTAAATGTACATAAGTCTCACCGGAATTTCGGTGCACTCAATTATATATAACTAATTTTATCGCGCCGGCACATGCAAAAAACGAGGGCGAAACTATTAGATCGTTGATGCAATTTCATCGACTGCAATTCTCCGGAGTAACATTTACATTCAATTGACCCTAATTAACTCTGGAAATTGCTGAAAACCGCGCAACGGCCGATATTCCTGAAATGATTTGTTATTGATATTCCATTCAACGGTTTAAAAAGTCAGAAAGTTTTCACCGACCGAAACGCGAATTGACTTAACAGAAAGTACCGCAATTTTATGAAATTAAAATTAGACATAATTCTGCTCGTTGTGTACATAAAGTAGTCATTATGACACGAATGCTTCAACGTCTTTTACTATCGCACATTAATTTTTAATTTGACGAGGTTTTCGAAAATAGACATGATTATGTTACGCGTCAGTGGAAAGGTTAATTAATTGGGGAAATTTGATTAGAACTCGTCGCTCTATCGTGGCTCATAAAATATTGAATAAACACTAGCAAAATAATTAACTTCTGTCCTTTAATTCCGAATATGAAATTACCCTCATCGTCACACCGGTGAAATCGATCAAGCTACATGCGCTGAAAGCCATCGAAATCCCATCTTGTTTCGCATATTTTATCTCTTACCGATGATCGCGGGGATAATACTTATATTGGTGGTATTAAATTTTGCCTGCGCGAAAATTTTTCAAGTCATTCAAAGGATTGGCATTTCAAGGCTTAGCCGCGAACGTTCATCGAAACGGATAAAAATTTCGTCATACTAGAAAAATGTTTCTAATGCATTGCCGAGTAAAATAAATACAAAAATATAATTTAAAAAATGCAGTTTCATAATGAAATTATTCCACAAGGAATGAAATTTTAAAAAATTTCAGTAAAAGTGATCTCTCTCTATCGCGGCGGAAGAGAAAGTATTTGGCGTGATCGGACGGGCTGAGCGTACACCGCGCTTTTCGGATCATTTTACGGAAACTTCGATGTATTAACCGATCGCGGGTTGACGTCCTCTCGACGGGAGTGACGTTGCCATGGAGAGATTCGTTTTGTCCTGGTTCGTCCTGCATCCGGCACCTGCGCCAGCTGGAGCTCTCGAGATGACACGGCTGTGTTATTGGCATTAGCGTTGCCGGCTGAAAGCCAAACAAAATCTATCCATCCTGACGAAGCGATGGGGTTGCTGGTGCTGAAGAACGGGAGGAAAACAGAGGCGTCGCAACTGTCGTGCCGCGCACACCTAACACGCTGTGCGAATGCAAAATCGGCTTTTGGTAGCCGGCTATTGAAATCGATCCTACAGATTCTGGCGCTGTGCGAGGGTTTTCGGTTGCGATCGTTTCGCTGTACCTGGATTCAGCTGAATTCTCCGTCTTCATGCAGCTTTAAAGCGCGGCTTTTACAAAATGGAAGGATTACATTTTCTAACTTGAGAGACGCAAATAGAGTCAAACGCTTTATACAAAATTGAAAGCTATAAATATTTGGCAATAGAACAAAAGCTCCTTTTCGTGCTAACGGAAATTGTGAGCTGTTAAATTAGAATTAAAAATTAGAAAAATGTAGACTATGTGCAATCTTAAAATACACTACAACGCATAAAAATACCAATGTGATCGAGCCGAAAAATTGACTGATTATTTTCGGTAACGTATATTTTCATCTCGTCGAGAATATTTCGTACGTGTTTTACACGATATCACATTTAACTCGCGTAAGCTTCACGTCGAGGTGATAAAGGGTTTAAAAGCCACGAGAGCGTAGTTGGATCGCGTTTCTAGATTCGCCTATAGGGGACTGCACCGGCATGCAGATATGATGTCACGATGGAGATTTCGCATTGTCCTATCTCAGCACCGAATCCCGACACTTGCGCGAGCCCTCGCGTACTCCAGATGACGCGTATGTGTCATTGGCATTAATCGCTGCATTGTTTGGCGAAATTCAACCGAAACCTCCGCACGGCTATGGTGCACGATACTATGCATCGCGATGCATCTCTGTACGGTTATACGACTTTACGATAACAGGGAGCGAAAATATGACCGTGGCATTATGCAGCTCGAGTGCTCAATATTGTAGAATAAGAGAATTGTGTACTTTGAAAGATCCCTCATCTTCGCGCGTATTTGGAAAAGCACCTTTGTACCTTTGTATCGTCATAGAATATATCAGACATACCGGCTTTCCAATCATTCATAAATAAATCAACTGTCTCATTACTAGTAAATGATTATTATCCGTCGCACCGTATACGTTACATTAATTTAATATTTTAATATACGACAACATAATAATTTAATAATGCGATAACGTTTGAAATTGGCACAGAATAAATGGTTTACACGTTTACAATATTAACGCGCAGTAAACTTTAAAGCCGATAATCACACGAAACATTACACCGCTTCTCTTTGCGTAATCGGGACCACCAATCACGGGCTCCTTTGAAAGAGGAGACTATGAACGACCGAAACGTTCACGATATAAGGACGCGTCGATCTTCGTACAGAGCAAGAAAGGGAGCAACAAGCGCGGCGCGCTTTCTAATAATCTTGAGTGCTTTGTAGCACAGCGTAGCTTTTATTTCAGGAAACAAGCAAAAACCTCATCTAGAACGTACTGACAGCAGTAATTCGGTTTAGCGCGACTGAAACGGAGCAAAAGCGCGTGACGACGCGTATCTTGAGCGACAAAATTCTAGGGTTGGATCTACACGGCAACTCAAGGGACTTAACTGCCAAGGGATCGCGCGGAGTAATCTTGTTCAGAAATAATGTCAATTTTTCAAAGCTGCTTACATCGCGTTAAATAAGTATAAGGGACGCCCGAGCTTTCGTACAAGCTTTTCGTTTGCTCGTCAATGTGCCATTGTGTATTCCCATTTATAATCATTATAAGCATCAACGCCCCGAAGAGTTCCATCTAGATATTTCAAGATATCGATGTCGTCAACATCCGTCGCCGTCCAAATAAATTGGGCGTCCAAAACACATTTTGTTCATTCGGTTTAATTCCGCAATCAGAGCCCACGTGTTGACAGCACGTAATTGTACACGATTCAAAAATCCGCGGCGAGGAGAGGAGAGGAGGGGAGGCCTCGATTAATATTCATAAATCATTACGGGGATATCGCGCGAGCATCGAACGGCACAAACACGGCAAGCCGTAGCTCGTGTTTACGATTACGCTTCGTTTATTAAGTTTTTATATCATTCGTCGAATCTGCCGTTAATCAACGATCCATTGTGGACATTTAAGCCGTGCGTTTCCGATGCGTGAGCGCGTTTACGAGCCGTTCTCATGTTTGCGCAATGAATAAACTGCGCGATCACCAATTATTATCGGAAGGCCGCAAAATGGATATCTGGAAATGCAAAAGATAATCACGCGGTCAATGATTCGCTATGCCGTTATGATGTCGCTGGGATATCGGTTCAAAGCAACGAATTTATCTACAAGTGTACGAACCATAAACCGCGGCATACGATACGCAACAATAGTTGAACGACAGAAAATGTTTAATATGCCACTTTTGCCCATGTAACATAGAATATCGTGTTAGAACGTCGAACAATGTAAAAGTAATAAAATATCAAATGCGTGTGTACTGCTAAAATGTATTAATAAAGGCGAGTTCAATTTGAATGTTAGCACGAAACGAGGGGGAAACCGCTGACCAAAATCTTGTACACCAAGGCCCACTAATGCCCAGTGGGCATTACTTTATCTTATTATTTTATTTTATCTCATTTATCTTGCTTTATCTTATTTTATCTTCATAATGCCCCAGCAAGGCCTAATGCCCAAACCAATGCCCAAAAAATGCCTAGTAATGCCCAGTAATGCCACAAATCTGTATACCACAATTTTACCCCACGGCACAAAAGAGCGAGAGCGCAACAGCACTCCAGATTAATATGAAAAGAATGAACCCTCACTACTTCACGTTAAACTATCGAGTTCTCGCTACCAACGATTTAAATTCATTGTGTTCCAACGGGGGATTGTCAAGATCGACTGCATGATGATGTTGATCTACCTTCCATGAAGGATTTCAAGCTAACCCGAACAAATTACGGGGTCTCTTAATGAAGACGACCATTATCATCTAACATGTATTTGCAGTAGCTTCTTAGTTGGTCCGAGCAAACAGCCGGTAATGATGCACCCTCGCGTTAGCAAGCGCCGACGATTGATCTCCCTGCGCGCTTATGATGGCAGCGTCATATATCACGGTGAATCCGATGATATTATGTCAACGAAGTAAGCTCGAGTGGGCGGATTAAAAGGGCGCACGGGGCATTTGCAAACTCGAATGACGAATATCCCGGCGCACTTGTATTTTTTATTGTTTATTGAGAATAAACACTTTGGCTTCGATACCGCGGCGAGTAATGAAAACAGTAGCGTTCGGCTCTCGAGCGGCGCAATGAAATTAAGCGGTATATCCGTTGCAATCGTGATACCAAACGATCGGCTCTCAAACGGAAGCTATCAGAGCGGGACGTTTGATTTCTGGGAGGAGGAAAATGTAACGGGGCGAGTCTTTGGAAATTACTCGGGTTTTATTACGTGCGCACGCGAACCTGAAATTTAGACGTAATAAATATGTTGTAGACGCGCAAAGACTGTCGATATGCGAAGCTTTTCGTGGCGGAGCGTTCTTAAAGATATTACGATCGGTTGATTGTATGCAGTCATGCTATCTCGTACTTATGCGATCAATCGCCAATTCTTCATTCTCGATACACTTATTCAGTTATACCATTCGACGCCCGGAACGGCAGAATTAATCCACCTTAGCCAGTTTAACGTCGTCGAACAATTTTTCCTTCCTGTTTTTAATCAATTACTGGCGACAATAACATTCTTCTTGCTATTTTCAAGACTCAAAAGTAGCAAAAAATCTCTAATAAAAGGATTCAAACAAAAACTCGCGCAAAAGTAGTTGAATGTTTAAAGAAGTGCATGTTTAAATTTCAACGACGCTGACCGTACGGTATCAGAGTATGATAAATCCAAAGAAAACTTTGGCTAGATTAACTTTTTCGTGCGCGGTAATGCTTTGCGGACGTGACAACGTAGGCTATGCCATTCTCTTTGTTTTTTGGTTAAGTGTTCTTTGCGTTCTTGCTTCTGCTCTACCACTTTCTTTCTTTTATAAAACGCCCTCTATATCGTAACTGATTTTCCATTATGATAATTAAAATATCTTTTCACAATTTATCGCATTAACGATAAAATGCGATGCTGCCACGATCAATGCTCTGCTGTGAATTACTACGTAATTCAGAATACTATTTCATTTTCTAAAACTCTTTTTTTATTTTATCGGTGTTTAATATTCTAAGAGAAGCAATAGTGTTTAAAAATCTGTTCTTGAATTGAATATAAAAGAATTCATCGTCTATTGAATTATTGATCAAGTCTCATTTCGAGACTAGAATAGTTGCGGAAAAAAGTATCTCAACCGCGAAAATTCAAGTGCAAACGAAGGCAACGTGCTAAGAAGTAACGTCGCTATTAAACAAAGTGCCCGGTGACAACGCGATCAAATGTCAAAACACTTTCAGCTGGGACAATCTGTGGGACCTGTGTAATTACGGGGGAGAAATTTCCAAAGCGATATAATTCGTCGACGAGCGATACACAAAAAGAAAATGCTTCCGCTCACTGTGTAAGAAGAGCGGTTAATAATGCAGGAACATAAACGCTAACATCGTCTGCCTTTTTCATGAGACGCCGGCGCCGTGCACGATGAAGGAACGGTAATGTTTATTTAATAGCCCCATTTACGTTGGACGAACTGTGCCACGGACTGCACCGTGTAAGAACGGCGATTTTATATTTCATAAGCGAAGCGCGTCCCCATAGAGTTACACTCGTTCGCGTTGCGCGCATGGCCGTCGTCGTTGCAAATATATCGAATCACAATTACAATAAAAAATAGAAAGGCTCGCTCGCGAGAGGAAGAAGTCGATAATTGAAAATTTACATACGGATTAAAGTATTCACGAGCGAACGGTCAAATGCTCTGAAATCTTGATGAAAACGGAAGCGCGAGATAACATCGTGATTCTCGCCGAAGGCTCTTTTGAGATTAGCTTCTTGTATATTTCAGTAATTCACGCTTGTTACTTTTTCTACCGACACCCCCGATTACGATTCGAACGGCACTTCAACTTTCCATTCGTGGACCATCGATCGATTAGAAAGTCGTTTAACGGGTCTCTGGTGGCGAGCGAGCGAGCGGGCGAATCTGGCGACGTGACGCGCCGTTAAAGTATCCGCTACGATCGCGAGGAAGGGTCGCAAGGTCGTTCGTGCGGCCCTACCCTTAAATTATTCAACAGCGACGTGGGGTAGCTGGCCAGCGCGCGCTGTCCGCTAAGATATAGCGCCTCTGGTCACGAACCAGACGATGGATTTTCCGATGGCTCACCGTTCGATTTCCCAAGTTCTTCACCTTGCACACGAGATGCACCGTCTTCCCCACCAGCCCGGTGAAGTTGGATTGCATAGAGATGTCGAAGTGAGGCCCGGTGCCCGGCGTCGGCCATTCCTCCAGGAAATCGGTCCGAAAGTTTCGTAGGCTTGACGCTATACCACCTGGAAGTAAAAGTGCCCGTGCGATTAATGCCGATCCCTCGGGAGGGGAACCGTTATCGACGGCAGATTTCAGATTGCGCGCGGAGAACGGATTCATCGTCGTCTCGCGGTTAAGAATAAATTCCTCACGAGATTATCGGATCAATCGACAGCGCGTGGCTTCTTGTTCCTGATTCAGCGGTTCGACGGCAAGAATAGCGCCGTCACAAATTTTTAACGCGGTCACACCAGGTTGACAACGGGGTAAAACGGCGTAATTGCACGTCCCGTAATATTTTACAGCACGCTCCGTAAGCTCGAGGCAGACTCGTCCACGGCGTGTTCGGAGCATCCGTCAACTCTCGCCGGATTTGCGATGTATTGCATTTTGCGAGGCCACTTGACTCTCGAAGCGCGTTAGGCGGCAACTCCAGGCATCCGAGCCCGTTAACGTTCGCGTCACTTCGGAGATCGTACGTAGCATCAACGTCACGGATTGTCGCGTCACGTCAGTCGCGCACGTGAAAGTTCGCGTGGCAGTACGCGAACGGACCTATTTAAATACATTACATTATATCTTGACGTGACGGTAGCGTTCCTTTTCGTGACGGCGGCGCGACGTTACGGCCGGATTTCCCCTGAAATCTGCGCGTTACCGTGTACACGCATACCGTGCATTTACTACCTGCTAAGCTTATCGCGCGTGCTATTTGAGAGATATTTTTCCCCGCGTATCTTGCGGACGTTACAGAGTGTACGGGGAAAGATTATTCTATTGAAATAAATTAATTCTGCGGAGGAGAATGCCGCGCCGGTAGAAAACACAGTGGCGGATTTATTAATAATTGTTGTACACGAGCACAATGCGCTTTTAAGCATCGGATTAAGATATTAACTGCGATATCGAGGGCCGTGTGCTACAAAACCTTTTTTTTTTCTAAATCCGTCATTGCCCATTGTATCCAAAATTCTCAATATTTGGAAAAAAAAATATTTCACCGTAGCGACCGAGTTTCTTTTGAAACGCGCGACTTGTTTTTTTTTCTATATTATTTCAGCGTATCTTTTTTTTGAGTAAACTTTATTTTTTCCCGTATTGAAAAACTTTCGTTGGAAAAAACAGATCTTGAACAAAATGCGGATTGCGAAATTTTCGCTCGGAAAAAAAATGAAAAACTAGCAACATATTTCAAAAGTATAGTCCTAGTTTCAGCAGCTTCCCTCCCCCCCCTCTCTCTCTCTCTCTCTCTCTCTCTCTTTCTGTTTTCACGTTGGATTTCGTTAACTAGGAACGGCGGCCTTTGATTGAATTCACCTTTCGACATAAAGCTGTTTCACACCGTGACATAAAAATCGACAAACATCATTTGTAAAATAATGAACGCGAAAAATAGCACACATCCATGCGATTGTTTCGTTTCCATTTCCGGTTACGAACAAAAATCATCGTTAATAATATGTTTAGTTTTGCCGGCGCAATGTAAATATTTAGTTGAAGACTACTCTTTATATATTATCACTAAATTACCGCCAGTGTTTCGTGTCGAACATTCATATCATTTCTCTTATTATGTTTTTATTAGCTTTATATTCTATAATGATAATGCAATGCAGTGTTATACCGTTGTGTGAAACGTGCAATTGTGATTAAATACAATTTAATTAAAGCATCTTTCTACCGCTTTGATAAATGTATCCGAAATGCGTCCAGTGAAATGCTCACGCCGCTGCTTTATGAACAAACAAACATTTGCATATTTACATTGTACGGAGAGAATATATTTTTCCAGAGAAAAATACGAGGGAGGAGAAAATATGGATGTAAATCTTTGGCATAACTTAAGATGTAAGAATCGGCGCTGTTGCGCACCATTTTCAGATAGCTATAAATACAACTGCACCCCGACGTTGACGATAATTCGTCCGTTTCGCATAATTCGTATTCTTACACTCGAATTCGCGATTCTTGATTAAGACGGAGGAAACACATAGGCAGTTGCCTGCAGCGGCGCACATACCTAGGTCGCACGCACGAACTATCGCCAACTCCGGAATTGCACTTCCGGATCAGCTGTGTACGGGCAAGCACTTTCTCAGTTGCGAATTATATTTCGTCAAGTGCTTCACAAAGCCAGACAGCCGTATGCCGCGAATTTCCGACTGCACGATGTTTAGGGCGAGTTCGCGATTAGTGCGGAATTGCATGTACTCTCGCTCGTTGCCGGAGTTGATTTCAACCGGGGATGGAGATACTTGCTCCACTTCCTCACCGCACACGTTGTCAGCGAATATTTAACCACCGAAGATCCTTGAATTGTCATAATTTAATCGGGCCGGTTTCAGGCGTGATTCAAGTTGCGGGAAGCTACCTATTCTTCAGGGGCGCAACGCTCGTGCCGGGAGATTAAATTTTGCGCGATTTATTGAAAGTTAACGTGAACCATTTGCGAAATGTAAAAATGAAGAAACGTTTGAAGACGCTCAAATCTGCTCAGGACTGGGGTATTTGCGGAGAATAGGATAAGCCCATTAAAAAAGTAGAATAGAACTTCTAATTGCGTTCGCTCATTTCTTCCACCGCAAGATCAATGTTAAGTCTTCCTTCCACTTTTCTTTTAAAATTGCATTCGTACGGCGAAACTGACGCATTTTTCGCGTTCTTAACATCGCCGCAAGACAACGGTTAATCTCCGGACTTTAACGGGAGAATAGCTCCCAGGCTCGTAAGCGCCATGAAGTTTAAAGGCGACGTAGACGTGCGCGTAATATCAAACTTCATCGATGACGGGATTAAGCATAATCGCCGCCGGCACACTCTATTTCTCTTCGTACCTCCAATTTCGTTCAACTTTTCGAAATACTGGCCGACGTGCCGCGACGTGCCGCCGCGGATAATACGAAACTTCGAAACGAATGGATTTCCCGTAGCGTAACGTCGCGCACGAGGGCCGCGTGCGCGCGTATTGTCATAAAATAACCCCCGTAATTGCCTTTCCAAACTTTTTGCCGGTACGAGCACTTCCGTGACGGGAGTGCCGGGTTCTAGACCGAGGGTTCGTGAGGCCACCACTCACCTAGTCCGTTCCCGAGGCCTCTCGCCGTTCAAGGCGCTCCCCGCTCAAGCAGGCACAGGCCTCGCTCGACGCGAGTACGCTCGCGCGAGCCTCGTTCGTTTTCCGCCCGCGAAATTAATTTTCCTGCCCGAATTCTTCCGCAGGAACTTTGCCCGCGTTCCACGCGAGAAAAGTTCAGCCTTTCATCGAAATTTCCGAGCGAGGAATGCCCGCCAATTGGAGCGACGATATTTATTTCCGTGCCGACGTATTCATTTAGGACCGGTTCAATTGAGACGCAAACCACTTGGCTATAAGTATCTTCTTTTTGCGCTCGGCTATATTTTTTAATACCTGAGTAAATCTCTCCTTTTTTTTTCAATTTCACCTACATTTCGCCCGTTCCAAACATCTACCATATAATCGTATATTTTAATGAGAGAAATAAACTACCGTTACGCGCAACACTATCACAAAAATAACCGTTGATATATGAATTAATCTTACGCGATTGCTATTACGCTTTGCGTACAAAATAGGATGTTTAAATATGTATACGCATATGTGCGTGCATTAGCCGGGCACGAAAGGGCAATATTAAGTTATTAATCACTTCGTTCCATATGGAAATTAAATTATACGGATGTGGAAATAGCTGATAATAAGTAGTCACGACATTTCGCGTTTTATATTTCATTCCGATGCAATAACAATTTCCCGTATGATAAAACCCCCGCACTTTCGCGTCTTGCCGACTGTTAATGCGAGCGAATAGGTGTATGCAGATGATTTAAGTGCACTCTCCGACGACGCGTGAAAAGCGATCGGATTAAAATCTCCTTAGTGGGACGCTACGTTGTTGACGCAATGGGCTCGCTATTGATTCGAACGACCGTCGGTGGATCGAGTTTTATGGTCCTTTTAACCGGAAGGGAGTTGAAACAAGTTCACCCTCTGATTATCGGATCGATCGAGAGCTGTTCTGTTATGCCAGAAATTAATTTTGTTCCGGAAGCTGGGCGAACGCGGATTTTCCCTTCGTTACGCGTCGACAATTTCAGATGTCACTTTAAAGTTATTCTTTATTAAAATTCGAAGGAACAGTTTAATTTTACGTCGTAATTTACCCGGCTCCTGTTTGCGCCGAAAGGGTGCTTTATTAATATTTTTTTAATCCCGATTTCTCTATTAATAAATTACACCAATTTTCCTTCAATTCAATCTTCGCGTACTTTTTCCAATCTTCATGATCTGTCTTCATCATCAAATATGGTTTTTTACTATAATCAACTTTTTTCCTTCGGAATCGCTTGTGTCTGCCTGTTTTACACAAATATGTATACTGTGTGACCAGGTCTCTCTCTCTCTCTCCCCCTCTCCCTCTTTCTCTTATCGGCTCTCGAGATACACTGAACATAGGAGATAGCTGAAGATAAAGACGCGTTTGCGAGGCAAGTTTATCATAGGCGATGGATTATCCATAATCCTTGGCCGGAAATTAATTTCGCGCTCGAATCCACAGGAACGATTTTTGCGCGGGTTCGATCATCCGCCCGTCGCGCGCATCATCGTTGTCTTTCCGATCTTTCCTGATGGAATTTCAACAAAATCGTTTCGATACTACGGGGAAAAAGATATCAAACTTGATCGAAATTGGAACCACTTCAAGCCGCGAATAGAGGAGAACTAATAGAGGAGAAGATAGGGTGGGTACAAGCGTACGCAACATCTATTAGTAACTTTTCACCTTTTCTTCACCGCGGTACGTCGGTGTTGCCCGGAGCTTGTCCGTAAATTGTAGAAAGTTGCTTCAACTCAGAGAAGACAGCGTCGAGTATTACGGTTGGTTTTAACACACACAGACATGCTCGACGGTTATAATTATTTCGTACCATAACGTCCCACGGAAAAGTCCGAGACGCCGCTATCGTGACTCATCCGTCAACCTAGAGGTGAATTCTTTCGGAC